GCCCACCGGGGGAGGGGCAGCCCGCCCCGCCGCCCGGCCCTGCCGGCCGCGCCTCCCGGAGAAAGGAAGCCGGGAGCGCGGGCGGGAGCGGGCGGGTGTGCTTAAAGGGGCCGCAGTCCCTCAGCCTCGCCTGCGGCCCCAGCATCTGCTCCGCACCCCCGAGGCCTAGAGGCAGTCAGTGTGAGTCACCCTCGCAGCAGCATCCCCTCCGCTTTTGGGTGGAGGGTGGCTAAGGACGGTAAGCGGAGTTGGGTAGGGGCCAGGGAAGAGAAGGAAGGAGCTGGAGGCCGATGCCCTCTCCCGGTCGAAGAGCTGTGGCTTGGGGTACCCGCCTCTCTCAGGTTGGGGTGAGGTGTGCGTCTTGCTGGTCCCCCATGTGCCCACACCTATGTGTCAGTGTGTGTGTGTGGTCACACTCTTGCTGAGAACACCACCCCTTCCCCCCGCCAACAATATGGACGCCCAGGTGCAAGAGAGGTCACGCAGTGTATCCCCCTGCCTCCAGGCTAAAAATACCTCTATCCCTCCAGGCTTCCATCCGGAAAGGAATGAATTGCGAAGGCTTTTAAGACCTCCTAGGAGGTGACCACTGTGCCTGTGTGTGGTAATATCTTCTTGTCACCCGTCGTGTATACTTCCACCAGAGGTGTGTCTATGGTGTGTGCATGTAACCTACACGGACCGTTTCTTGTGACGGTCTTTCTTCCAATATACTTTACGCGGAGACATGACAGATCCTGGTGGGGGTTGGGGGGCAGGGAGCCTGGGCACATGCCGCACGTGGGCGCAACCCCGCACCGAGCATGCTCCCCCATACACGTGTGCCCCGCGTGCACCCAGCCCCCAGCCCTGCAGCGGCAAAAGGCCAAGGCCCTCTGCTTGTGGGGAGAGGGCCAGGGTGCGCAGGACCAAACATGGGGACCAGGTCTATGGTGACAAGGCTGGGGGGGGAGTTCTTAAGCGGCAGGGAGTTCTGCTAGGTAACCAGGAGGGGAAGGGAGCCTTTGGGCAGGGGTGACCAAGTTGTTCGATTTATCCCAGCGGTGCCAGAGCAGCAGTGACTTGTGGGTGGGCAGGCTGCTTCCCTGGGGAAGACAAGTAATGCTCATGAGTCACACCACCCGAAATACACGCAAAGCTGCCTCCATCGCCTTTAGCTGCAGCCCAGATTGACAAGTTTATTTGAAATTGCGATCCACGGGTATATTTATAATCGCACCTTAAAAAAAATCTTCTTTCAGGCCTCCCCCCCCCCCCCCGCTGCCAGCCGCTCAGCTGCCGGGGCTTTCAGCAAGCAAAGATAACTCGCAGGGCTGGAGTGTGTAGGGAGGGGGCACCACCTGCCGCCCCTTGTTGCGCCCGCATGGAGGAGTCCGCGGGCTGAGTGGTCCCAGCTCAGGCGACCGGAGGAGCTGCCTGGCTGCCCGGATCCAGCACGCAGCCCAGGAGCGGTGCCCGCCGGTTTACCCCCGATCGACCCGCAACTAAGAAATTTCCTTTATTAAATGTCTAGGCGGCTCCTGGCAACCGAGCCGCTTGGCTGTCTTTGTTTCTCCGCTGTGTGGGCGCGTTTCGAGCACGTGGCAGCCGAAGCGCGCAGGCCAAAGGGAAAGCAGTCTCAGTTTTGTGTCCACGGTCGCCTGGCAAAAAAAAGCCCGCTACCCAGGGGACAGTTCCCG